TGACATCTCCAACGAAGTCCATTCATGAAATTTCCCTGCCCTTCTTATACCCGCGTCCTCATAAATTATATACAAAGCTGGCTCGATAATCTTAAAAATAACATAAATTTTATCAGCAAGTCTGTCACGGGTTCTATAAGGCACAGTCAATGTCCAGATATTGGAGAATTAAATTATTTTGAAATTTGAAATGTCTCTATGCGCATATATAATAAAACCTAAATTCAGTTCAGTTCAAAGTTAAGTTCAGTAAAATCCAGTTCAGTTCAAGGTTAAGTTCAGTAAAATTCATTTCAACATAACACCGACCAGAGTAAAAATAACGCTAATATATGTCATGCAGTAGAAGTCACTAAAAAATAGCGAAAAGCAACATAACTTTTGCGATAGCACAAAACTGAATCTGCCGAATTGTTTTTCAGGCATTATAATTACACAGTGTGTCTGACGCAAGACATGTTGAATTTTACTATTTAACAGTAGCAGTTCAGTAATATAGCTATCCACCTTTTTTTTAGTTCAGAAAAAGCTTTGAATTTAACGAAATTATTGCGCGTTTTAAGACAGTTTAAACACAAAGTTAGTTTGGCGTTTGCTCTAAGCGCAAGTCTACATGTAAGTCTCTAATATCCATGCAGAGACTCCGGAACGACGAGGAAGGCAAGAAAGGCATGCAGCATCCTGTCAAGGCCAGTTCTGCATTGACGCTTGCTATTGGTGCATAAGAGTCGGCGATACCATGTGAACTTTAGATTAAGCGGCCAAAATGTTCAAACCGGTCATATTTTAAATCGAAATGGAGTATTTCGTTAAAAATATAACGATAAAACTATATTTCCCGTTCTAGGCTGATGTAAATAACGATATACTTGAATGCAGAGTTCTTGAAACACTCTAAAATACTAGTAATCGGACTGTACCGAAATACAACAGAACCGCGGTCTGGCCGTTTTTTCCATATAAAGGGAAGCGTCCCATGCCAGTGTCTGGAGAGTTTCCGCCAGGCGATTGATAAATGTGCTTCTCTAGCTCTTGAAACTCTTTGCGTAATATACTCATGCAAGCGAATAGAGCAAACTCAACGAATTGCAATGCAATGCTTTAAATTGAAAAGGCCTCCTTTACCTTCCATGTTAAGGGGCGCGTATGTCGTACGTTACCTAGATCAGTGTATAGCTCATTCTCAACCTGTATGTGGGCTTTGCATCACCGTATAAGGCTGTTCACTTCCACATTCTTCGATCGTTCATGATCGTCTTCTTTGTCGAGGTTTACGGTGTGTATATAGAACAATATGGCGGTACTACGCATTTCATCGTTTGTGCAATTATTTGCTCTTTACACACGTTATCATTTATCTTTCTATAAACATTTTAATCACCTTTTAAGCGTTTACTTTATATATTATAACTATATTTCACACTAACTTTATATAACTATAAGTAGCACTTACTTTAAAAAGTAATAACTATATTTTACACTAACTTTATTTTACACTTTCTTAGCTACTTTATTTCACACATAGCCCCCCAAGATACATTAGAATTTTTTATATAAAAGATTCTTAAACGAGTTTAGAATAGAACATTTGATATGAACTTCACAAGCAATGTGTTTACATTGTGTTTGTTCTCTGTTTGTCAAACCAACACCGCAGAAATTGGTGTTTACCAATTTTCAAGCCGCGAAAACCTATCATTTCTATATGAGTATAGACTACAATTCGTATTTCTAGTTTGCATGCTTTAGTGAGTTTGACGTTTAATATATTTAGAATATGCCCTTCAACAACTTAAAAGTTTCTTTTCTTAACAGCGTCTTCGTCCAAAAGAATACTATTGAGTTGAAACTAGAATTGCATAAACCGAACGAAATGCCCCAGGTTTTGCTTACCAAAAATTGAAATTTATCGACATTCAATGACAAAGAAATAGTAATGGCGGTTGGAAGGAAGGATAGAATCAAATAGGTAAGGATAACCATGAAACAAGATTTTGCCTGTTTTATCTCCTGAAGGAACAGCTTCTTCCTTGTCATGTTCTCTGCAGAGAAAGCAACTTGTGGTCTGGCTTCCGAACTCTTCAACTTCCTAATGATCAGGAATATCCTGGTGTAGGCAAATCCAATGACGGTGAACACAATCGATACCTGTGCCAATACATATATCTTCAGAAATTGGTTAAATGCCAAAGAGAGGAAAAACGCTGTGCACCCCATCGCAACGCTGGTGCACACAAACATCAACAACCGTCTTTTTGTCATCTGAGTGACGTAAGCATAGGGATGTAAGATTGCGATGTATCTCTCCATCGTCATGACTAGTAATGTGAAGGTAGATATTCCCATTGGAATCACTGTCGAACGCCAGGCGAGGGTCGCGATTATGCAGTTTGATGCTGCTCCAATCCCCGTTGAAAGAAAGTAGATGAAAGAAGGTAGTCCCAGCACACCCACTGCCAAATCATTCACGGACTGAAGGAGGATTATAAAATAGCAGGGCTTGCTCTTCAGTTGGTTACATTTTAAGATAGTCACTACTGCAACGCCGTTGAGTAATATCGTAGGAACTATTAAAACTGCGTTAAATACGATTGCGATGATCTGATTGATCAGCAAATTTTTAGTTGGAAGGTTTGTTATTATTGAATGGACAGTTCCGAGAACGCGACATGAAACTTCGAAGACTTTCCGCTCTTGTGACTGATTCATGTCGCTCCTGCTCGCAAATGGATCAAGATAAGATGAAAGACCTCCCTTGAACAGGTTTTAATCAATTACGATTACGGTCGGCACATCGTTTACTTATAAGTGTCTTATCCTAACAATATAGCTATTAAATCACCTGCGGGGTATTACATGTCTTTCAATTATTTTTGTAATGTGATGGAAAGATATATTCAGTCCGACTGCGATAACAAGTTATAAGACAAGGATTCTTAGTGCACATTCGTATTTCTTGAAATCTTTATATCGTGGAAAAGAATTTTTCATATCACTTGACAAAAAGTAAAAACAATAATTAGGATGATAAGTTTAGTCCAAAACAAAAACACTAAATACGAGTTGAAATAACACTTAAGGCCATGTTACACGGTGCACTTCTTCTTGCTATGCTTTTTTTCTTTTGAGAGATGTAAATTTGGCATGCAACTACCGAACTTTTGTCTTTCTTACACGCCATGGCGTTACACTTATATTTTGAAGCCTCTTCACTAATTTACAACTCTCAAAAGTAGAATTACATTGCAAACTGCAAGAAAAATTGCATCGTGTCGCATGGCCTTGAGAAAAATACAAAAATATAATCATTGATTGATCGTTTTGTCCGCCTTATGAACTTTTACTGCTTTTTTATTAATCAGTCTTTAAGGCAAGAAAGCACCTGGACTGAGAACAACTCTTAGGGTTATTATTATGCGGTCGGTGCCACAGGTTTAATCAAATATAAATTTGAAATTAAACTATAGTTAATATGTCTTTGTTCATGAGCTTTGGGATGTTCATTTGTTCATACATTATTTATTTCGGCAAGATCAGCAGTAATTCTCTGACAATTACGAAGGACGGGTGTTTCCAAAGCGCTGAATAATATTCGGCTTAATATATCCACTTAGAAAATCAGGAAAAAAGTTGGTTTTGATCTTATAACTGTTCCTAAAGAACATGTCGGTATACAAATTACTTTCATCTTGCGAAAATATATAACGTTCACATCTCCAACGAAGTCCATTTATGAAATTTCCCTGCCCTTTTTATACCCGCGTCCTTATAAATTATATACAAAGCTGGCTCGATAATTTTAAAAATAACATACATTTTATCAGCAAGTCTGTCACGGGTTCTATAAGGCACAGTCAATGTCTCGAAATGTCTTGAAATGTCTCTATGCACATATATAATAAAACTTTAATTCAGTTCAGTTCAAAGTTAACTAAAATTCAGTTCAACATAACACCGACCAGAGTAAAAATAACGCTAATATATGTCATGCAGTAGAAGTCACTAAAAAATAACGAAAAGCAACATAACTTTTGCGATAGCAGAAAACTGAATCTGCCGAATTGTTTTTCAGACATAATCAGTAGCGTAGCCAGCCTGTCGATTTGTCCCGCTATGCTAATATTTTTATGTTCACTGACTGTGAAAACAATAGATTTCAAAGACATGAATAATTATAATAACTCGAAATTTACAAAGCGGGACAAAATCGTCAGGCTGGCTACGCCATTGGACATAACTACACAGTGTGTTTAACGCAAGACATGTTGAATTTGATGATTTAATAGTAGCAGTTCAGTAATTTAGCTGTCCACCTTTTTTTAGTTCAGGAAAAGCTTTGAATTTAACGAAATTATTGCGCGTTTTAAAGCAGTTTAACACAAAGTTAGTTTGGCGTTTGCTGTATGTTAAGGTCGCTCCCTACAGTTTCTCGAAATTTTTAAATGCACATTTTAAACAGGGATATTCAGCATCGGAACGTTTGACTAGAAGACTAAAATTTTATATAACTTTCAGGCAACATACCTAGAGCCGAAATCTATTCAGAACTTGTGCCATGCAGTTGTTGCTATGGCAACAGAGACGTTTCAAAATGGCCGCTAAAAAGCATTTAATCGAGTTTATATCGCAAACGAGTTCGGTGACCCCCAATTTTTTTTTCATCAAAATTTTACACTATAGAAGTTTTATTAATAGTAAAGTTTGTAAAAAAGTCTGTCTAGTGCGATTTTTCCATCGCAAAAAACGTCATTTTAGCCCTTTGAGCATTGCACCGGCATCGCAAAAGCGTAGGTTCAATTCCTGCCGGAGGACCTATAGTTGTTGACTTATCTCTACATCAACTGTTCCGGGCTTGGATTTGAAGTGTGTATAATACCACTCGAAATTAAGATCCTTTAAACCTCTAGTATATTCCACATTAACTTTATATAACTATTAATACACACTTACTTTATATAACTAATAGCTATATTTTACACTAACTTTATTCTACACTTTCTTACTTTATTTCATACTTAGCCCCAAAATATACATTAGAATTTTTTATCTACAAGATTCTTAAACGAGTTTAGAATAGAACATTTGATATGAACTTCACAAGCAATGTGTTTACAGTGTGTTTGTTGTCTGATTGTCAAACCAACACCGCAGAAATTGGTGTTTACCAAGTTTCAAGCCGAAAACCTATCATTTCTGTATGAGTATAGACTACAATTCGTATTTCTGGTTTAAGCATGCTTAAGTGAGTTTGACGTTTAATATATTTAGAATATGCCCTTCAACAACTTAAAAATTTCTTTTCTTAACAGCGTCTTCGTCCAAAAGAATACTATTGAGTTGAAACTAGAATTGCACAAACCGAATGAAACGCTCCACGTTTTGTTTGCCAAGTATTGAATTTTATTATTATCGACATTCAACGAGAAAGGAATAAAAATGGCGGTTGGAAGGTAGGATAAAATCAAGGTAAGGACAACAATGAAACAAGATTTTGCCTGTTTTATCTCCTGAAGAAATAGCTTCTTCCTTGTCATGTTCTCTGCAGAGAAAGCAACTTGTGGTCTGGCTTCTGAACGTTTCAACTTCCTAATGATCAAGAATATTCTGGTGTAGGCAAATCCAATGAAGATGAACACAATCGATATCTGTGCCAATACATACATCTTCAGAAATCGGTTAAATGCAAAAGAGAGGACAGACGCTGTGAACCCAATCGCGACGCTGGTGCACACAAATATCAACAACCGTCTTTTTGTCATCTGCGTAACATAAGCATAGGGATGTAAGATTGCGATGTATCTTTCCATCGTCATGACCAATAATGTGAAGACAGATATTGCCATTGGAATCAATGTCGAACGCCAGGCGAGGGTCGCGATTATGCAGTTTGATGCTGCTCCAATCCCCGTTGAAAGAAAGTAGATGAAAGAAGGTAGTCCCAGCACACCCACTGCCAAATCATTCACGGACTGAAGGAGGATTATAAAATAGCAGGGCTTGCTCTTCAGTTGGTTACATTTTAAGATAGTCACTACTGCAACGCCGTTGAGTAATATCGTAGGAACTATTAAAACTGCGTTAAATACGATTGCGATAATCTGATTGATCAATAACTTTTTAGTTGGAAGGTTGGTTATTATTGAATGGACAGTTCCGAGAACGCGACATGAAACTTCGAAGACTTTCAGCTCTTGTGACTGATTCATGTCGCTCCTGCTCGCAAATGGATCAAGCTAAGATGAAAGACCTCCCTTGAACAGGTTTTAAACAATTTTGATTACAATCGGGAAATCGTGTACTTATATTGGCCGGGTAAGAAAAAATCCTTACAATATAGCTATTAAATCACCTGCGTGGTATTACATGTCTTTCAATTCTTTTTATAATGTGATTGAAAGATGTATTCAGTACGAGTGCTATTTATTTATTATAACAAGTTATAAGACAAGGATTCTTGGTGCACATTCGTATTTCTTCAAATCTTTATATCGTGGAAAAGAATTTTTCATATCACTTAACAAAAAGTAAAAACAATAATTAGGAGTTGAAATAACACTTAAAGCCATGTTACACGGTGCAATTTTTCTTGCAACTTGCAATGCGGTTCTTCTATTGAGAGATGTAAATTTGGCAACTACCGAACTTTTGTCCTTCTTACACGCCATGGCGTTACACTTACATTTGAAGCCTCTTCACAAATTTACAACTCTCAAAAGTAGAATTACATTGCAAGTTGCAAGAAAATTTGCATCCTGTAACATGCATGGCCTTGAGAAAAATACAAAAATTAAATGTAATCCTTATTCTTTTTGCCCGCCTTATGAACTTTTACCGCTTTTTTAATAATCAATCTTTAAGGCAAGAAAGCACCTGGACTGAGATTTTATGCCGTCGGTGCGACAGGTTTATTCAAATATAAATTTGAAACTAAACTATATAGTTAATTCGTGGATACAGAAGCGAATATATGTCTTTGTTCATGAGCTTTGGGATGTTCATTTGTTCATACATTATTTGTTTCGGCAAGATCAACAGTAATTCTCTGGCAATTACGAAGGACAGGTGTTTCCAAAGCGCTGAATAATATTCGGCTAAATGTATCCACGTAGAAAATCGGGAAAAAATTGGTGTTGATCTTATACTGTTCTTAAGAACATGACAGTACAAATTACTTTCATCTTACGAAAATATATAACGTTGACATCTCCAACGAAGTCCATTTATGAAATTTCCCTGCCCTTCTTATACCCGCGTCCTTATAAATTATATAGAAAGCTGGCTCCATAATTTTAAAAATAACATAAATTTTTTCAAAAATGCTGGGCACGGGTTCTAAGGCAACAGCCCATATCAAGACCTTGGGGGGTTTCTTTTGAAATTTGAAATGTTTCCATGCACATATATAATTAAACCGAAATTCAGTTCAGTTCAAAGTTAAGTTCAGTAAAATTCATTTCAACATAACACCGACCAGAGTAAAAATAATGCTAATATATGTCATGCAGTAGAAGTCACTAAAAAATAGCGAAAAGCAACATAACTTTTGGGATAGCAGAAAAAATCTGCCGAATTGTTTTTCAGTTATTATAATTACACAGTGTGTCTGACGCAAGACATGTTGAATTTGATGATTTAATAGTAGCAGTAATTTAGTTTCCCACCTTTTTTTATATCAGGAAAAGCTTTGAATTTAACAAAATTACTGCGCGTTTTAAGGCAGTTTAAACACAAAGTTATAGTGTGGCATTTGACTAAACATTAATAAAAGAACAGACGAAATTTTCTGGAAGTAATGACGAACGCACGAACATGTTCGTCACCTTTCGTTTATCCGACGATCGCCGAATATTAACGACGGACGTACGTATACACACATACCCACAGAACTTTTTCAACTACATAGTGGTTAGTCGCGCATGCGCAGCGGCTACCCACAAAAACGGATAAAAAACCTGTAAACTAAAGAACGTTGTATTTATATAGAGTATAGCTGTCAATGAAACGACGAAATGTCAAACAAAAGCTAATAGAATATACCATTCATAATTTATCATTGATTTAAAATGACTGTAGTTGTATTTGTGTGTGTATTTGGGAGGTTATATCGTAAGTAATGCACGTTGTTTCTTCCCATTTATTTGTATGCGCTGTGTTTGTTGCAAACTTGTACGCTGTTTCCTCCACGTATCTCCCTTCTTGTATATATTTACGCATCAATTTGTGCTTTTGGGACAGATCATAGATCAATCAACAAAAATTTCGCTCACATGTTTTGATGTTCAAGTGAACGCCAAACGGTGTGTACAATAATACCAACAATATGGCGGTGTGACTACGTATATTTCATCGTTTTGCAATTATTTGCTCTACACACGTTATCATTTATCTTTCTATAAAACATTTGAATCACCTTTTAAACGTTTACTTTATATACTATAACTATATTTCACACTAACTTTATATAACTATTGATACACACTTACTTTATATAACTATTAATACACACTTACTTTATATAACTAATAACTATATTTTACACTAACTTTATTTTACACTTTCTTACTTTATTTCACACTTAGCCCCCAATATACATTAGCAATTTTTACATACAAGATTCTTAAACGTGTTTAGAATAGAACATTTGATATGAACTTCACTAGCAGTGTGTTTGTTCTCTGTTTGTCAAACCAACACCGCAGAAATTGGTGTTTATACCAAGTTTCAAGCCGAAAACCTATCATTTCTGTATCAGTATAGACTACAATTCGTATTTCTGGTTTGCATGCTTATTAGTGAGTTTGGCGTTTAATATATTTAGAACATGCCCTTCAACAACTTAAAAGTTTCTTTTCTTAACAGCGTCTTCGTCCAAAAGAATACAATTGAGTTGAAACTAGAATTGCAAAAACCTAATGAAATGCTCAAGGCTCTAATTGCCAAGTATTGAATATCATCGATATTCAACGTGAAAGGAATAACAATGGCGGTTGGAAGGAGCGATAGAATCAAGTAGGTGAGGATAACAATGAAACAAGATTTTGCCTGTTTTATCTCCTGAAGAAACATCTTCTTCCTTGTCATGTTCTCTGCAGAGAAAGCAACCTGCGGTCTGGCTTCTGAACTTTTCAACTTCCTAATGATCAGGAATATTCTGGTGTAGGCAAATCCAATGAAGATGAACACAATCGATACCTGTGCCAATACATACATCTCCAGAAATCGGGTAAATGCAAAAGAGAGAACAGACACTGTGAACTGTATCGCGGCGCTGGTGCACACAAATATCAACAGCCGTCTTTTTGTCACCTGAGTAACGTAAGCATAGGGATGTAAGATTGCGATGTATCTCTCCATCGTCATGACCAATAATGTGCAGGCAGATATTCCCAGTGGAATAAATGTCGAACGCAATGCGAGGGTCGCGATGATGCAGTTTGACCCTGCTCCAATCCTCGTTGAAAGAAAATAGACGAAAGAAGGTAGTCCCAGCACACCCACTGCCAAATCATTCACGGACTGAAGCAGGATTATGAAATAGCAGGGCTTGCTCTTCAGTTGGTGACATTTTAAGATAGTCACTACTGCAACGCCGTTGAGTAATATCGTGGGAACTATTAAAACTGCGTTAAATACGATTGCGATAATCTGATTGATCAGCAACCTTTTAGTTGGAAGTTTTGTTATTATCGAATGGACAGTTCCCAAAACGCGACATGAAACTTCGAAGACTTTCAGCTCTTGTGACTGATTCATGTCGCTCCTGTTCGCAAATGGATCAAGCTAAGATGAAAGACCTTCTTTGAACAGGTTTTAAACAATTTTGATTACAGTCGGCAAATCGTTTACTTTTTATATTGGCCGGGTAAGAAAAACAAAAGAGTCTTATCCTTACAATAGCTATTAAATCACCTGCGTGGTATTATATATCTTTCAATTATTTTTGTAATGTGATGGGAAGATATATTCAGTCCGACTGCGATTTATTTATTATAACAAGTTATAAGACAAGGTTTCTTGGTGCACATTCGTATTTCTTGAAATCTTTATATCGTAGAAAAGAATTTTTCATATCACTTGACAAAAAGTAAAAACAATGATTAAGGTGATAAGTTTAGTCCAAAAGAAAAGCACTAAATACGAATTGAAATAACATTTAAGGCCATGTTACACGGTGCAATTTCTCTTGCAACTTGCAATGCGGTTCTTCTATTGAGAGATGTAAATTTGGCAACTACCGAACTTTTGTCTTTCTTACACGCCATGGCGTTACACTTAAATTTGAAGCCTCTTCACAAATTTACAACTCTCAAAAGTAGAATTACATTGCAAGCTGCAAGAAAAATTGCATCTGTAACATGCATGGCCTTGAAAAAAATACAAAAATATAATCGTTAATCGTTTTGTCCGCCCTATGAACTTTTACCGCTTTTTTATTAATCAATCTTTAAGGCAAGAAAGCACCTGGACTGAGAACAACTCTTAGGATTATTATTATGCCGTCGGTGCGACAGGTTTATTCAAATATAAATTTGAAATTAAACTATAGTTAATTCGTGGATGCAGAAGCGAATATATGTCTTTGTTCATGAGCTTTGGGATGTTCATTTGTTCATATATTATTTGTTTCGTCAAGATCAACAATAATTCTCTGGCAATTACGAAGGACGGGTGTTTCCAAAGCGCTGAATAATATTCGGCTAAATATATCCACGTAGAAAATCGGAAAAAAAGTTGGTTTTGATCTTATAACTGTTCCTAAAGAACATGACAGTACAAATTACTTCATGCATCTTGCGAAAATATAAAACGTCGATATCTCCAAAGAAGTCCTGTTATGAAATTTCCCTGCCCGCCTTATACCCGCGTCCTTATAAATTATATAGAAAGCTGGCTCGATAATTTTAATAATAATGAAAATTTTATCAGAAAGTCTGGCACGGGTTCTAAGGCAACAGCCCATGTCAAGACCTTGGGGGGTTTCTTTTGAAATTTGAAATGTTTCCATGCACATATATAATAAAACCTAAATTCAGTTCAGTTCAAAGTTAAGTTCAGTAAAATTCATTTCAACATAACACCGACCAGAGTAAAAATAACGCTAATATATGTCATGCAGTAGAAGTCACTAAAAAATAGCGAAAAGCAACATAACTTTCGCAACTTAACTTGCGATAGCAGAAAAATCTGCCGAATTGTTTTTCAGATATCATAATTACACAGTGTGTCTGACGCAAGACATATTGAATTTGATTATTTAATAGTAGCAGTTCAGTATTTTAGCTGCCCACCTTTCCTTATATCTGGAAAAGCTCTCAGTGAATTTAACGAAATTATTGCGCGTTTTAAGGTAGTTAAACACAAAGTTAGTTTGGCGTTTGCTTTAAGCGCAAGTCTACATTTAAGTCTCTACTATCCAAAGACGCCGGAACGATGAGGTAGGAAAGAAAGACATGCAGTAAGTATCCTGTTAACTCCACTTCTGCATTGACGCTTGCTATTAGTGCACAGTGTCGGCGATTCTATGTCAGTGTCTGGAGGCTTTTCGCAAGGCGATTGATAAATGTTCTACTCTCTTGAAACTCTTTGCGTGAGATACTCACGCAAGCGAATAGAGTAAATTTAACGAATTGCAATGCAATCTTTTAAATGGAAAAGCCTCCTTTGCCCCCCATGTTAAGTGGCATATGTCGTACGTTACCTAGATTATAGCTCCTTCTCAACCTGCACGCGGGCTTTGCATCACCGTATAAGGCTGCTCCCTTCCACATTCTTCGACCGTTCATGATCGTCTTCTTCGTCGAGGTTGGTTTCAATAACAAGTTTCTGCCGTCTCACGTCATCAACAGTGTCCATCAGTGACGTGTTGTGAGTTTCGGGGAGCAGAAGGATTAGGAAAGCACTGGTGAGTGACAGCACACCAAAGATAGCATATGGGACGAATTTCGCAGTATATGCGCCCTGAAATAAATTTTGTCTAAATTATTTAAAGTGGAAGTCAAGTCGCTTCTGTGCATCGGTTCTGCTCATAAGTCATAACAATGTGAGATCACTTGATCAATTGATCATCAATAAATATTTTGCCTAAAGTTCGCATGTTAGGAACTTTTTTCATCAAAAACACTATAATAATATTCTTGTATGTCTGCATGGTGATAAAGAAGTATCAATTGCATTGATGAAGGCCCCTCTGAAGGACCGATAGCTTTGCAGTATCAAATACTTACGTGGTGTACCTACAACCTAATTTAATTAAAAACACAAAAGTTCATATTCATTTAAAGGCATAGCGAACCTGTCAAATATTCTGACAACAAAACGTACAGAAGATCAAAATGTGAACAAAACGTTCGTTTACATGCATACGGACTTGACCACTTTAAGGTGGTCTTATACGAAAATACTGTTTTCTTTTTATCTTGAAAAATATAAAAAAATTCCACGGCATATTGCAAGTCATGTTACTCTGAGTTGAAAAAAATTTGTAGGAATCTTGATTTAGCCACAAAGACCAAATACATGCAACCATGCATGCAATGGTGAAAAATGACTGATTTTTCAAAACATGAAAACTTACGAAACATTCATGAATTCTCGCTTTCTCTCTGGTCTTCTTCAAAGTAAAACTTTCAAGGTTCGATTAAGAAGTATTTCACAAGTGTTTTCACCAAATTTTGGTTAAAAACTAAAAACTGGTTAATTTAATCGATTGTCCCTATATAGCCATAGGGTCCCTGAGAAATTAGCACCTTAGAGGGGGGGGGGGGGCAGTGAAGATCATAGAACACAAATAAATGCAGATACGTGCATGTATAGAGAGTGTCTATAAGGCCGTGATCAGACCGAGTGCCCGTTGGAAAGTCTCTTCATTATGTAAAATTAATTGGTTTTAAAAGTCGATTGAAAAGCACAAATTTTGTGTTACTTCTGCTAGCGACTAGGACAACTAGGCCTCTTGCAACTCATGCTTGCCAAGGCAGGTAATATAACTGCAGTTATACAGTACACGAGCTTACATTTGCCTGGAACGCTTCGCGGGTATAAATAAGCGTAGTAATAATTGCCGTTGGACAGAGAGGAGAGACAGTGAGAACGTACCAGCAAGAATATCTGTGGTGACAGCATGCCTCCAATTCTTGACCAAGCACTATTAACACCAAGACTTATATTTCTGAAAGAAAAAATATCATCGTTCTTCAGATTACCTCCTAAAACGTACATTTCAGCCGCGTTTATAATTATAATATATTTTTTAAATATATTTATTTTTTTCTTGCGGTCCGAATTCATAGGGATGATAGGATTGATTTTAGAGGTAACATAACGCGAGTTTCAAAATTTTCCCGCAATTCTCATTGTTGTTGTTGTGAAAATACAAATGGTCTTTGGTTCGGATTTAAAACGAATATTAACGTTGCAAATAGGAACGAAAACATTTAAAAGACATCTTTAGAGAAGTAAAATTTATTCTACTTTAATGTTTAGGCTATAATTTAAAAAATGTTAATTCGCTTTTATAATGGTCTTTGTGTGTATATTTGTCACTCAAAATTTAACCCTAACTCTCCTGACGAAGGCCATCAGGTCGAAACGTCGAGAAGTGTTTTGTGTTTTTAGGCTGTTGTTATACCACATTTGATGCTACATAATTTAATCCATATAATAAACCGAACATTACACGGTTCGCTCGAAAATATGGATTTTATGTTCTCGTGTCAAACTTGTTTATATTGTTTTTGCCACTCAAAATCTACTCGCAACCGTGTAATATTGTATATACAGATGTCCCCAATTAGTGGTTGCAAATTTGTTTCCAAATTCCACTGTAATTTTTAGTTGAGACATGAATTATAGGTATTTGTATCGTGGGACATTCTTGGAGGCACACAAAATAAACTTTTCGTACCGTATAACTGTAGGATACAGTTCAGCAGTAAATGTGCCTATAGTATTCAAGGCAGCCAGGGCGGAGGACTTTCCAATAAGCGCACATGCAGTTTCAAGAATTTTTAGACTCGTTGAATCTAAAGACAGGGAAAAAAGTATAAATAAAAGGTCGGGGGGTTCAAAAATATGTCTTAAGAGCAGAAAATTCGTCAAGTCGAAAAAATTTTAACACAGTATATTAACCATATGCTCGGCGTTGAATGCTTGGAAACGACACAGATTAAAAGATTATGTTTAGAATGAAAAAAAGCTTTTATTTTTTAATCTTCTATTGTTCAGAACAAACATTCATTTTTCCAGTAAAAAGAATTCAAAATAGCGATAAGTTAATGATTTAACTGCCGCCTCGTACAAAATATAAACGCGATCATCTATTTGTTGAAAAGTTAAAAATGGGAGTCGGTATAATAATTCACCACACAAATAAATTTCCTGAATATTATTGTTGAAAACGGTTCTTATACATAAACAGTTAAGATGTATACCTGGAAGCAAGCATATGTACCTGATTTCATGGCGATTGTTGCAAGTGATATAAAATTTGCAATTCCACAAATAAAGAATTCGATAACCAATGGCTTGCGATGTCCAAACCTTAAAAAGAAAACACCAAAGTCATGAAACATGAAAAACACATTTGAACAAAATGAACTCCGTATCGTTATCCTCTACATAAACGACGCATGAAACAACTAAATACAGTAATTTCCATCTTCAAAAGGGGTCGCTGAATAAACCAGTTGAAACTGGTTTGTCATCGGTGTAAATATGGCCACACTTGGTTCCTCGCGCAGAAAGCAACTATCGTGTAGGTGTTAATAATTGATGTATTTTTTAATGTTGCTATTAAATAAGGTTTTTCATTCGTTAATACTATGTTTACTATTCTTCAAATGTATGATAAAACAATTATTGAATTCGGTTTTTGTGATATGCAGAGTTATCAAGGTCTCGGTAAGCGTTATCAGTGACCTTGACAACTCCGCATATCACAAAAACCTCATCCAATAATTGTTTATTAAACTTGCAACCTCATTGATTCTCTGCTAGACAGATATTAGCTCCTATCTGTCTAGTAGAGAAACGTAAACAAAATGGCGGCAAGATTTGGGGAATTAAGCGACGATCAAATTTAAGCGACGAATAAAGGTACATCAAAGTGCACCAAAATGGCGAAAAACTTTGAAATAAAAGTATTCAACGATAGGTTAAAAAATATAAGTTTACTGAAATACAGGGGTTTTTTTTCTGTAATAAAGCGTTCGTAAAAAACACGATTAGTACGGGATCTCATTATTCAATTTTTCTTTAAAAAGGTGTATTATTCACTATATTGTTCCTATTACGAATAAATTGCCATCGGCACATATTCGACTTGAATTCGCAGAATAACTGTTGAGAACGAGGCGCAGACCTATTTTTGGAAATGCGAAGTAGGACGGTCGTTCTTTGCTAGGAAAACCGTAAAGCCTAGAGTGATCTGCAGTGATCTCGCGAGTCACTCGCGAATGAAGCCTAAAATTTGCGGAACTTTACCTCCAGACACGCGTGTTTGAAGGAAAAGTCCCGCAAATTTTGGCTTCATAAGGTAGCGTTCCAGTTATTTATTACAGTTCACTGAATTGGTAAATAAATATAACATCATGAAGTTATCGTTCAGTTCACATAGAGTTCTGTGATTGTCTCACACTGAACTCCATATCTGCACGTACTTTGGGACAGCCCATAAAATCACCAAGATCGCACACAAATCCACTGCTTCACTTATCCCAAAATTGATGTATTTATCGCCGAACAGTGCTGAAATATTGAAGGCGAGACCATAAAACGCCGAAGACACAGTAAACCTGTAGTTAAGTATCAAAAACATAGTTGGCCACGTGATATGAAGGGATTGCAGTCACAGCCCACAATTGGTCATTTCAAAATCAATTTGTTTAATTAAAATTGATCAATTTCACACACAAGATAGGGGAGGCTAAATAAAGGTTTCTAAAGACTAAAAAAGTGTCTTAAGGTAGAACGGTACGTTTCATATGGCCAGCTATACATACGCTGGATAGTTCTCAGGAAGGTAGCTAAAACAATATTTGCATGGAAGGGGGAAGGTGTTTATTCATATATTCAGTTCTGCCCTAAGGATTTCTTTTGTAATGCAATAGCTTAATAAACACCCCCCAATTATCGTTCTAGTAACGCCGCTCCTTTATTCATATATTCAGTTCTATCCTATACATCCACCAGCTATAGCGCTTTTTCAATGGCTCAAAAATTGCCCGTGGTTCGTTATAACCTGGATTTAACCCTTTAAATCGAGGGTTCTCTGTTAGGTCAGAATCTGCAATTTCTTTTAAAGCATGCTTACAATGCTTGAAAAAACCACCATCCGGTGGGTATAGCACTATCCAGCTTTCAGTCTACAACTGCCCACGGTTACGAGAAAAAAGCCAAAAACCTCGGGTACGAGCATTCCCAATAGTAATCCCATAATCAGAACCTGCGATCCTACGGGTTATGGAGTCAAGATTGTCCGCATAGTCAATCAGAACCTGAAATTTTCATTACTACGTACTACTCACCACAGTAAAATTAGAGTTAAACTTCTCTTTCGTAATGATCGAGATCTGAAGAGTTCTATAACGCTTGGTCTTCGGATTCGTTTCGCTCGGTTATCTTGCAGTACGCGACTCTCTTTAATTTCCGCCAGGATTTCCTCAGGACACCGCAGCCTGTTGAACATAACTATGCGTCGAACTACACGCTCTGCTTTATCGTACTTTTTGTGAAGAATGAGCCAGCGAAGTGACTCAGGAACAAAACTAGAAATACCATAAAAACAGAAGATTATGCATGTTACAAAACTGGACAAACGCGGAACGCTTGAGCAGGTTGTATAAAACTCTTCCCTACATGTTGGATAGTGAAATCCTAGTTAACTTAGAAATACACGACTCTGATTGGCCAAGATTAGATTCAACAAAGAATAGATATCCCCCCAATCCCCCCCTTGGAGGGAAATGAAACCTATGACCTTTAATTTGCTAAATCAATGCTCTCCAACTGATATATCAGGGGCGCTTTCCTTTATACGGAAAAAACGGCCAGACCGTCCTGTTGTATTCGGCCGGTACAGTCAGATTACTGGTATTTTAGAATGTTTCAAGAACTCTGCATTCAATATATCGTTATTTACATCTGCCTAGCACGGGAAAACTAGTTTCACCGCTATATTCTTAACAAAATGCTCTATTTCAATATACAACACGACCGGTCTGACCATTTTGGCCGCTTGATCCATCTAGTTCAAGCTGTCTCTGGTTACAGTCTGACTTACACAGGAAGGCACTGGTTTAAGCTCTAAAATCAAATACCATAAAACTGCCATGGTTACGAAAAGAACGCACTTTACCAACAACGAAGACTTACCACACATAAAAGCAGTAAAATAAACGGAATGAATGAGAGGGCTAGTTGAATGTATCTCCAGTCTCGTATTAGGTATGCAAGTATTCCTAACACCACGCCACCAATCACCGCCATAATGCCAAAAAATACGCCAGCTCGTGCACGATACTTCGTCTGGAACAACTCCAACGCCAAGGTGAACGACACCAACATAGAGCCCTTTTTGAAACAGAAGAGTTTATCATGAAACAAATCAATATTGGTTGCCATGGCAACCATGATGATAATTATGATGATTTTGACCATAACTGGCATATTATTCATAATAAATGATGGTTGCTATGGCAACCATGATGATCATTATGATAATCTTTATCATGATTAGCATATTAAGCATAATAAATGATGGTTGCCATGGCAACCATGATGCTCATGATGATGATTTTGATCATAATTAGCATATTAAGGGGGTCCTCTACTAAAATTTTCACTTTGACTTCGAAATTTTTGAAATTTCAAAGACAGTCAATATATGTACTTTCAACCTTCCTCTATGGCTTCAGAAATTTTCAGTGCGCATAGAATACTACAACACACTAAAAAAAAGCAAATTCCTGAACCTTTGGCTATTTTCTACCTTAGCAACGCCCTTAGCAACAGCTGTTTTGTTTGAAAACTCCGCCTGAAACCCATTCTTTTTATCCAATGAGAACGATTTTTTGTATACTATATGAAGTAGTCCTTCTGCTTTTCTAACACACCCGCTGAAAGGTCTTTTAACGATCTGAAGGCGTCTCTTGAGCTAAATAAACTCATTGTGTTGTTCTCGTGTTCTAAACTCTCAAGCGTTCGTCAAGCGTAATTTGCGTTATTTGCATAAATCTCGATATTATATATTCATATATTCACGATGCCAAGGGAAGGTTCAAGAGTAAGGAAACGGAAATTTCATGGCAATAGATTCATGGACTCTGTAAAGAAAGCGCGTCTTGAGAATGATTCTGTTGTGCCATCAACTTCAACTAATGAAGGCAATTCGTCTCCAAATATTTCTGCTTCCGCTCGTAAGATTGGCAATCCATGTCCTCGAAATGCTCCCCAGTTACAGCTACCGTAACAGAGTATCGATTTATTGATATGGAGATGCTGAACTATGTTTTTCAGCAAATGATTTGCAGTGAATGTGGTTCATTGTGTTGTCTTGTTTTAGAAGAAGACCCACGTGAACGAAAAGGCAGTGCGTCTCATCTTCGTGTACGTTGCCAAACGTGTGGTTGGGTGTATACCTTTTATACATCTAAAAAAGTTCAACACTCGTTTGATATCAACAAGCGATTTGTGTATGCTATGCGAAGTATGGGACAAGGACACTCATCAATGAAACGTTTCTGTGGCTTGATGAACATGCCACCTCCAGTCCATTCAAAAGCTTACAGCGCCAGTAATGCTGCACTTACAAAAGCAGCAAAGACTGTTGCCACAAAAAGCATGAAAGATGCAGCCAGGGAATTACACGATAGTGAAGATGGTGATAAAATAGTAAAATGTGGTGTCTCTTGTGATGGTACATGGCAAAGACGTGGTCACTCATCATTAAATGGTTGTGTCACAACCTTATCTATTGATACAGGTAAATGTCTGGATGTGGAAGTCCTCACCAAAGTTTGTCATGGTTGCCAGAAAATTGAAAAAGAGTGTGATGATATAAAGAAGGCAGAACTTCTGGAGAAGCACAACAGTAAGTGCAAAGTGAATTATCAGGGGTCTGCACCATCAATGGAAACTGAAGGCATCAAAAGAATATTTGGAAGAAGTGAAGAAACCCGCAAACTCCAGTACACAGAGTACTATGGTGATGGTGATAGCAAGGCATATAATGAAGTGGAAAATTGTTACAAGGATGCTCATGTAGAGAAGAAGGAATGTGTTGGTCACGTTCAAAAGCGTGTTGGCACTAACCTAAGAAACCTGAAGAAGGCAAACAAAGGGATTGGAGGAAAGGGAAAGTTAACCAATGCCAAAATTGACAAACTACAAAACTATTACGGGATTGCTATAAGAAGCAATTCAGGAGATTTAGCTGCAATGAAAGCTGCAGTTCATGCAAGCCTATTCCACTGTGCTTCTTCGGAGAAACGAAACCTTCACATATATTGTCCAGATGGTCCAGATAGTTGGTGTCGCTACAAACAAGATAAAGCGAACAATACAAAGCTGTACAAACCAGGTGAAGGTCTTCCTGATGATATTATTGCATTGCTCAAACCTATTTATGCCAGGCTTAGCAATGATGAACTATTGAGCAAGTGCTTAGATGGAAAAACCCAAAACCAGAATGAGTCACTAAATGGCATGATTTGGAACCGGTTGCCGAAAACCATTTTTGTTGGAGCGGATGTCCTGAATTTTGGAACATATGATGCTGTAGCTCATTTCAATCTTGGCAATAAAGCAGCTGTGAACATTTTTGAAGAGTTGGAGTTAGTTCCAGGACATTTCTTTGAAGAAGGCATTGAAAAAGCTGATCGTTTGCGAGTAAGGAAGGCTGAACATAGGAACACTCCTGAAGTAAAGAAGCGACGGAAAATCCTCCGCGGGCAGAAAAAGAAGAAAGAAGATAAAAATAAAGAAAAAGAGGGCACCACTTATGAAGCAGGAGCTTTCTAATGTGGTAACTATTGTACAGTAGCAATAAAATAGCAATAGAGCCTTGTTATTTAGACCTGTTTGTGTTATGAACATAATATTACACTTTAAATGCATTTTTCTCAACATGCCGAAAATCTGCAATTTCCGATATTGTATGCAAGATATCTGAAGAAGTATTGGAGCTATCCTGCTGAAATTTTCAGGATAGCCTCAGTATGAGTAGCTCTAGGAGATGAACTAAAGAAATTAAATTCTGATGTATAGATATCAAGTGGTATCTAATTCATTGGAATGTATTGTAACCGTTTCAATTGTTTTGCCCGTAAAACTGCTAAAACCCCACCAACCTGAAAGGTTTTAGTTCAACTCCTAGACCATGTTATTTTTGAGTAAATAAAAGTTATTTCATCATTTTATGGCTAATAGTTGTGTAGTTATCATGTTTGCAATATGGCATCCATTTTGCTATTAGGCGTGGCATTTCCTGGTAACCGAGGCAACACAACTTTGCAACTGTATGTACTTTTTGTCAGTGACCATAGCCTAACAACATACTAAGGTATCAGTTTGGTACTATGAATAGGAAGGTTAAAAATTTTTTTGGTAGAGGACCCCCTTAATCATAATAAATGATAGTTACCATAGCAACTATGATGATCATTATGATGATCTTGATCATAATTAGCATATTAATCATAATAAATTATGGTTGCCATGGCAACTATGAGGATCATTATGATGATCTTGATCATAACTAGCATAATAATCATAACAAATGATGGTTGTATGGCAACCATGATGCTTATTATGATGATTTTGATCATAATTAGCATATTAATTATAATAAATGATAGTTGATATGGTAACTATCATGATCGTTATGATGATCTTGATCATAATTAGCATATTATTCAAGATAAATTATGGTTGCTATGGCAACCATGATGCCCATTATGATCATTTTAATCATAATTAGCATATTAATCATAATAAATGATGGTTGCCATAACAATTATGATGATCATTATGATGAATTTGACAATAATTAGCATGTTAATCATAATAAACGATGGTTACCATGGCAACCATGATGATCATTATGATGATATTAATCATAATTAGCATATTACTTATAATCAATAATGGTTTCCATGGCAACCATGATGATCATTATGATGATTTTGACCATAATTAATAATTAATCTTAATAAATGATGGTTACCATGGCAACCATGATGATCATTATGATGATTTTGACCATAATTAGCAAATTATTCATAATAAATGATGGTTGCCATGCAACCATGATGATCATTATGATGATCTTTATCAAATTAATATATTAATATAACAAATTATGGTTGCCTGGCAACCAGGATGCTCATGATGATGATTTGATCATAATTAGCATATTAATCATAATAAATGATAGTTACCATGCAACTATGAGGATCATTATGATGATCTTGATCATAGTTATCATATTATCATAATAAATGATGGTTACCATGGCAAACATGATGATCATTATGATAATTTTGACCATAATTAGCATATTAATCATAATAAATGATGGTTGCCATGGCAACCATAATGATCATTATGATGATCTTTATCATAATTAGCATATTAATCATAATAAATGATGGTTGCCATGGCAACCATGATGCTCATGATGATGATTTTGATCATAATTAGCATATTAATCATAATAAATGATAGTTACTATAGAAAATATGAGATCATTATGATGATCTTGATCATAGTTAGCATATTAATAATATAAAAATGATTGTTGCCATGCAACTATGATGATCATTATGATGATGTTGATCATAATTAGCATATTATAATAAATTATGGTTGCTATGGCAACCATGATTCTCATTATGATGATTTTGATCATAATTAGCATATTAATCATAATAAAGTATGGTTACATGGCAACTATGATGATCATTATGATGATCTTAATCATAATTAGCATATTATTCATTATAAATTATGGTTGCCATGGCAACCATGATGCTCATTATGATGATTTTGATCATAATTAGCATATTAAACATAATAAATGATGGTTGCCATGGCAACTATGATGATCATTATGATGATCTTGATCATAATTAGCATATTAATCATAATAAATGATGGTTACGATAGCAACTATGAGGATCATTATGATGATCTTGATCATAATTAGAATATTAATCGTAACAAATGATGGTTGCCATGGCAACCATGATGCTTATTATGATGATTTTGATCATATTTAGCATATTAATCATAATAAATGATGGTTGCCATTGCAACTATGATGATCATTATGATGATCTTGATCATAATTAGCATATTAAACATAATAAATGATGGTTGCCATGGCAACCATGATGCTTATTATGATGATTTTGATCATATTTAGCATATTAATCATAATAAATGATGGTTGCCATGGCAACTATGATGATCATTATGATGATCTTGATCATAATTAGCATATTAAACATAATAAATGATGGTTGCTATGGCAACTATGATGCTCATTATGATGATTTTGATCATAATTAGCATATTAATAATAAATTATGGTTGACATGGCAACTATGATGAACATTATGATG